TCAATGTTATTAAGGAATAAGGCCGGAGTGCAAAAGGGGGATGTACCCTGGACTTTGTATATATCTCGGGTTACGCGTGTGCGCGCAGACGGAGATTGATTATAGCTGGCTAACACATTGTGTGTATGAGAAAATGTGATCAATACACTTATGAAAGAATGAGGATTAGCAAAAACCATTGGTCAGTCAATGAGTGAGAGGAAAATTGCAAACTCCCCAGAAACTCTGAAAAACAGTCTTTTTTAGCCAAAAAAACAACATCTCAAAGGACTTTTGGAAACGATCCCCTCCACACTCGAATCATCAATCCCCTTTCCATTATTATTTGTCTTTTTTAATTCTCATCTGTTATCGTATACGTTCCTCTCTCTAGTGTCCACACACTCGAGGAGAACAAAAGCATGGGCAATCTGACCGAGGAACACGAGAGACCTCTTTCCATCAATTCAATCCTTCGGTCACTCTAACAAGGGGGTCTTTTCCCATTCTGTCGTATCATATACGTCGTAAAAAATGCGCATATAAATAGTGTTTTAAAATCCTTAATTTTTCAATGTGCCGGGAGAGAGAAAAGCGAACAAATCTCTAACGAATCAGATTTATCGCTTCAATGTTCATAGACGCAAAAATTCAAGCTTGATTCTCGGTTCTCATATGATTAGACCCTTGGAATTAGAAGCATTAATATCATCGATATCCTGTGGAACGTGTGCGCTAGAGATCCACCAATTTCCTTCCCCTATCCCTGTCATACTCTATCAATACAAAAATATGCAACCCTAACTACTTCAACTACTGACGGCGAGGAGGGGGTATTTCTCTCTCTCTTCTCTCTTGAGTACTTACCCTTCCGTGAGTATATAGCATATACATACAAATGTCTATAACCCCGGGAAAACCAAACGCGCCATACTCCAGTATTTCGAGTGGAACGCGAGCGCGCGAGAGAGGAGCCACAGCCGAAAACCAGAAACACTCGAGTTCTGAGATCAGCGATTCCCCAGACTCCATTAATCCTTTTGGAAAAGGGTGGCCTAGCCTTCATCCAGCGTACGGCACTTGTACTATTGGTTTCAAGGACCGATGGAATTCACGGGGAGAGCTCGACAAGCTACTGATAATAATTGCTTTGTTATTTATTCGGTTATTGATTATTAATATAATATCGTCGACATTTTTTTCTTAAATATTTCAGAAGATTTTCCTCTCTGACGAGATGTGAATAAATTCTGGGGGATTCATCAGCAGGCTTTTGTGTAGATCGTGAAATTCCTTACAAAAATCCCATGCGATATTTATCTTTAAATCGATCAATTCTCAATGTACACTGTTAAAAAATTCTGTCTGAAATTTCCAGTACACTTTTTGGAAATTTTTATCGGGTTTAATTACCACTGAAATTTCAAGGAATTTTATCATTGAAAAGTCAGAATTTCATGGAAAAATCAAAGAGAACTGTCAATTTCCATTTTCATATTCATATTCATTTCCATTTTTCCCTGAAAATGAATAGAAAACTAGAAAATTCCGGTAAATATATTCTTGAATTTTCAAGTCAGTGGTACTGAACGCGATTTTGGAGGGTAAAAATCTTGAAATTTCAAATTTCACTGAAAATTCAATGTAATTTAAGGAATTCTCGTCTTTATGCTGCTTAAAATTCTGGAATTTCATTGAATTTTCAGTGAAACCTGAAATTTCACGATTTTTTGTCCCCAAAATTGCATTCAGTGTCACTGTCCTGAAAATTAGTAGTCTGTCCATGAAATTTCATTCTTTTTCTAACAGTGTATTTACAAAAACTATCGTAAGAAATTAAAAAAATGTCCCTATAGTCCGAAATTTAAATAAAACTCAACCTTTAAGCTCGATAATTATACGCGTTGTCACAAACCTCAATATCTCATCATGAAATACATAATTAAGATTCGTTAAAAAATCCAATGATGTGTAAGACCAGCTACGAGTCTCGAGCTATCCCCTCCAGTCTTAATTTCAGTATCTGTCCTTCTTTCCTGCGGCACCCCCCTGGCGTCATGCTAACCCAACCTATCGTCACTAATGACGAACACTATTACCAGGCGATCGCAACTTCGAGAACTTGGCACCCATACCCATCCCCCTCTACCTCTACTCCGACCCCTCACCGACTCACTCACTCACTCACACCCCTTTTCACCTCAACGTCCTCTTTCGATGAATATAGAGAGCGTGGGGAATGCAAGAGGGAGGAAGAGAGGGGGCTGTAGTTGGTTTCGAGTCAGAAGCCAACGGGTGAAGGAGTCAGAGGGAATAACGAGGCAGGCGGGAAGGGCCACTGGATTATCGAACGCCGATATATCCTACTTACATTCATGCACGATCAAAAACCGTTCGTTATACCCTACCTATTACAGAATGCGCGGTTATATCGTCAGTGTAACTTATATACGTGAGTAAAGTGTATTCATCCACGTCGAACTTTAACGACCGGGCCACGTAGAGCATATTCCGATCAAGCTCAGTTATAGACCATTATGCTATTGATTTCGAATTATTATGTTGTCTCATTAATGATTCAAAAACTTGCATCTATTCATCATCCAAATGCATTCACCTATTCAATCCATATAAAATCATTAAATTACTTGAATGATAAAAAAAAGTAAATGAATTTCATCTTCAGAATCATAAGTGAGGTATACATTACAAGTGAAAGAAATTATTGAGACCGGTATATTCATATTCTATATTTTTAAATTGTGTATTTACAATTATTTAATTGTTTCCCTCGTATACTGTTAAAAAAAATTAGCTGAAATTTCCAGTACACTTTTTGGAATTTTTTATATCATTCAAGTTGCACTGAAATTTCAAGGAATTTCGTTATTGAAAATCCTGAATTTCGGGAAAAAATTAATGACAACTGTAATTTTTAATTCAATTATTTCCAGAAATTGCTAGAAAACCGGAGAACTCGATGAAGATATTATTGAATTTTCAATTATTTGAAAATACAGGGTCATTTGGCACTGAAGATTAATGTTCTCATTGAAAATTCACATAAATTGAAGAATTCTCGTTTTCATGCTTCTCAAAATTTTGATATTTCATTGATTGTCAGAAATTTCATGATTTTTTTCCCCTTAAATTGCATTCAGTGGCCCTGTTCTGAAAATTACTAGTCAACTGTCAATGAAATTTCATTTTTATCACACAGTGTATAGAGGTTCGGAAAGCTGAAAGATAGCATATAGCATCCTGCTTTCCATTTAATTCATACCTCAAAAACATCTAAGGTTCGACCGAGTAGATAGCCCGGGGATAATGTAGAACATAAGTGAAATAATACCACCAATTCTCCGGTGTGACGTCCGTCGAAAAATGCATTAAAATACATTTTCCATCATTAATTTTCATCATTCTCGATATTCTGATATTTTTATAAATACATATCTGTCCCATGTGTCAAATGGAAAACTCACACGAGTCAAATATAATGGTCACGAGGATCAAACATGACCACTACTAAGAGTCAAATGGAAACATCATGCATTTTCATTGGAACTGTTAAAATTCAATACTTCAGATAAGTTCAAAACCAAACGAAGAGACGACACTCGCAAACGCTAAGAAAATAATATACGGATCAATAAATTAGAATATCATGAATCATCGGAGATCCTTCTCTACAGACAATTCTCCCTGGGCTACCGAAATAGTATTTTACCATCGACATTGAAACCATTTGCCAAATAATCCGCATAACATTATTCTCTAGACATTAATTTATTATTAATAATTATCAATAACAAGGCCGTTTTTTCCCATTACTGGTGATCACTATCAACCCCGATTGATCACTACTGATACTCCCTCAAATCCCCAATAACCTCGATTACCCCTTAAAAGCTAGAAACGCTTAAACCAATGGGTCAAAACAAGACAAAACAATCGACGCTATCGTTTACTCCCGTTAGGAGTGTATGGGCTGAGTAACCTGGGAGGGTTGTATTGCAGCTGTACCGTGCCAATACCATCACCCAAACACACCAGCCATTTAATACTATCGCCTATATTCCACCCTCCCAGGACCCCTTCAACTCTCACTCCTGAACAGGGTAAACGCATTCGTGGGTAACAGCACAGATGTGTGTGTATATAGTTACATCGACAACTCGAATCAGAAGCAATACGAGTTTTCAAGTGCGTTGCATCCACCGATTGATATCATCAGGAGTGCATTCATTGTGCTCAACACTGAGGGATTGACGCCCTTGCTCTCCAATCTGTCCTCTCTCTCTCCCCTCTCACATCAGTGCAATCATCTGTTTTCCTCCTGAGAGTCATTACCACTAGTTCATAAACATCAATCTCAATTGTTTCTTCATCAGAAATCATGAGGGGTAAAATCAAAGAATAAAAACAATAGCACAACTATTAGCGTTCCACTGACAGTCGTTTTTACAGTATTTTCCACTTCTGGTGTTTCAAGTCATCGACATCGATTTGGTCGTTTTATTAATAAACCACCGCGTATACGACGTGGCGCGTCGATCAAAGAGCACGCTAGGTCTGCGTATTAAGGAGGGGAATTGTAAAAGTTCGATCGTACATAGTCCCCGTTTCCACCGAGGGGCCAATCATCAATCGATTTTTCGTTTCCCATTCGTTGACAAGGTTTATATAAAAACTACTGCATTAAGTATTTCACTTACATCAAAACGTTTGCTCGAAACTTTTTGGTAGTGAAGATCGACACTTCGACCAGGGTAATTGTGAATATTACAGTGGGGCCAATGGATAAATATATCTCATCAATTAATTAACAATAAAACAGTACAGTTAGCTTCTTATGTCGTTGAACCTTTGGGTATTAAAAAGAGGATATTTTTAATGGAGAAATAATCCAATTTCCAATGAACTCCGATGCACCAAAGTCCGATAGTATTAACGTTTCATTTCGTATTGATTCAATTCTCGTCCTCCAGTTATTAATTTAACTTTCTTTGCCGTTTTAGATTAATCAACTGGTCGAGGAGGTATCGAGGTTACAGCAGAGTCTTCAGCGTCTCCAAGAAACCAGTGCACAGGCGACAGCGAGGCTCGAGGAGGAGCTTGATAACAGAAGACAGCATATAGCGAGATTGGAGAGCAAGTTGGAGAGACAAAGGGACTATGATGAGCTTAAGAGGGAAATAAGTGTATTGAGATCGGTAGATTTGTCGCAGATACCCACTGGGGAGCCTGGAAAAAGTCTTGAGCATTTGTTAATGGAAAGGACGAAAGCTCTGCAACAGGCTGAGACGTTGAAACCACCCAGCACACCTGATGCACTTGGTAAGTTTCATTTGGTTCTTGGATTACGCAGATTCATAATCTCAATCATTAGCAATCGATTCATCCCCATCAATTCTAACAAAAAACTTTTGTGCATATCGATATTCATTTCGACTATACTCCACTCGTTGGGAATGAATTTATGAACGTAGAGAAATAAATGTGAGATACGAGAAATCGGCGAAGCTATGAAAACAATTTGACGATTCTGGTAGAATAAGTCACTGATAAAATTAACAAATTCATGATTTGTTTATTAATATATGATTGCTACTCATTACTACCTCTGTATGCTGCTGCTCTTCGGTCCTGACTCTCTTTCCAAGGCTCCGTTAACGACAGGCCTCAAAAGAGTGCGGGGGAAAATTATAGAATTATTATCACGATAGTTTATCCTCATCGCAGTTAAATCATGAGATGAATTCATGCTCAATGAATATTCGAGGCTTCCCCAAATTGACAGTAACCTTGCATCTGCCATTTTATGATTTTCAATTTCTCTAACTCTTCACTTCGTCACTAACAAATCTTGATGATCTTCACTAAGCTTACTCATATTCATCCTCACAGGTATATTAACACCTGATGTACGTGGTGATATCTGATATAATTGATGTGGACAATCTTCTCATTCTTTCATAATCATCTCTGAATACCTTCATCTCCATCTTTTGCCTCATATTGTCTATCTGCTTAGGCTGCACTTTCCATTATTATTTTTCCGTAATAAAAGGCTCACTCTTCAGCAAAAGGAACTTTGCGTATTGCATTTGCATTGGTAAACAAAAACCTGCAGAGATACTAACGCAATACGATTCGTAAAACCTCAAAAAAAACCCGTATTCTCCCCCTAAGAGAAAAAAAAACCTCATCCCAATGCCTTTTACATTCCTGTGTTCGCCGGCCAAAATTTGTGCACGAAATCTCTTCGCAATATTTACGTCCCTCTACCCAAACCTCCGTAACCCGAGTGGGCCCACCCTCCCCCCTCCCTCTTCCATTGTTTCGTTTATACCGAGTTTATTATGAATCGATCCAAGAGACGAACATGCTCTCGAGTGAGATACTGCAGCGTCACCCCAATTACTGGAGTCTGAAAAAACGAATATTACCTCCCAAAAATCCGTACAAGTAGCGCGCGTTTCAATACTTCTCTTCTCTGGATATTTCCAAATCCTCCAGACTTCCAAAATCACCCAATGCGAATTTTTCAATAAAACTCTGACAATTATTAGTTGTTTTCTCACTCAATTGATTCAATAATTTGAATTTTTTTTCCAATTTCTTCACAAAATCCTGAGCCAATTTTTCTTCTCAATTAATGTATTCCCCTCTTGTTCTTCTTGCGTACGCATGTGCGTATGTCGAGGATGGAGCGTCGGAGGAGAGTCTGGGACCCCGTGAATAAGCCATGTACAATTTACCATCATTTGATTCAAAAGAAAACACCCAAAAAAAAAAAGAAAACGAGAACACTTGAAATCTCTGAAAAATTTGACATAATCCCAAAAGTGTATTGACATCTAGAAAAAGAGAAATAGGATGATAGATATTCAGTGATGAAACGGGGTCCCGTTTTTGTTTTGGTGGTTCCAGGTGGACTAGCCTCACCACTGCAGCGCGCTGCAACCGCCTCGCCCCATGGCAGTGGCGGTGGTGTTGGCAGCGGGAGTACACCCGTTACCCTCGTGTCCACCCAACAGGTGCTCCCAACGCGCTCCACCCCAACACCCTCATCGGCCACATCAACGGCCGCCTCGGGTCTCCTATTCCCGCCTCCTCTTCAAAATGTCGAAACATTTGGCTCATTCCTTGGCGAAGAAATTGTCGCCAATTGGAGGCGATCCCTGGAGAGGTCAATAATGAGCCAACAGCAGCAGCAACAGCAGCAACAACAACAACAACAACAACAACAACAGCAACAACAGCAACAAACATCACAATCGTCAATCGCGCAATCACAACAGACCCAATTATCCCAGCTGTCCCAGCAGCATACTACCCAATCACCGGTACAAACTGGGCTGCAGCACTCGTCGCTGTACCCATCAACAACACCAAACCTAAATCACCTTCCATCACCAACAGATCCAGCATCGTCGTCCAATAATGGAACGAGTGGACCAGTGAAATCGAGTACACCACTAGGTAGCCTGGAAAACATCACGGAGAAAGCGCCAACGCCGATTCCTGGTCACGAGACACCAGCACCACCGCGACCCTCATCGACAGCTGCACTAACATCACCACCAGCTAGTCTTCAGCCACCAGCCAGTTTGATCGAAGCCGCTATGAATGGCGCAAGCATGCCTGGACTTTTACCACCAAAGAGCCCGCACGAAGAGTCCTGTCACAACAACAATAACAGCCATCATCTTGCCAATAATAACAACAACAGCATCGGTAGTCTAAGTGTTTTAGACAGTCTCAAGAGTCCATTTCGCTTCGACGACAGAACCCATCCGTTTCGATTTGGTGATGAATTTGGGGCTGCAGGAATGGCTGGCAGACTCGGTGAATCACTCATACCTAAGGGCGATCCCATGGAGGCACGTCTACAGGAGATGCTACGCTACAATATGGATAAATATGCATCACAGAATCTTGATACACTTCACATAGCGAGACGTGTTAGGGAACTACTATCTATACATAATATTGGACAGCGTCTATTTGCTAAATATGTTCTTGGACTGAGTCAGGGAACTGTCAGTGAACTATTGAGTAAACCGAAACCATGGGACAAACTAACTGAGAAGGGACGCGACAGCTACAGAAAGATGCATGGATGGGCCTGCGATGAGAATGCTGTATTACTACTCAAATCTCTCATACCGAAGAAAGGTGAGTGATCGTCTCTTTTAACAAAACCAAAAAAAAAAAAAGAAAAAAGCAAAGAAGCATAAAACGGAAAATCAGACGGGTTTGAACACCTGAATGACCACCATTATCTTCTTTACTAGGTTGATGAATACCTTTTTGTATGATGTGTTTATGTAACTGTTGACCTTGGGTGATCTTCGTTAATCGGTAAATTGTTGATGCCCGTGTGATCACTAAATGTTTTATAATTTTGATTACACATCCCCCTGAAAAATTCTCTCTCGCCTCTCGCACTGCCAGATTAATATTTTCAATCATTACTCTTAACACTAACACTAATGAACTATCGTTAATTTAACCTTAATAAACTTCTCACCTAATATCAACGAATGATTAGAAATTTTTGGGTGAAGAGAAGACGATGCAGCGGGGTTGGGGAAAAATTTAGAAAGGAAGTGGGAAGAATGTGATTATCAGGACAAGAGTAGTTTCAGTCGAGTTCAGGTAGCATTTGCCGTATTTGGCAATACATCTGCGGCGACAGTGTACCTCTTCGACATTCCTTGTATGATGTACAGCTATACCCAGACCTATCACCATCATATAATCTCGCGAATGATATTAATTACCTTGATTAAATTACACAGTTGCATGGTATACCTGGGTGATATCGATTGTTCGCTGCATTTGGCAGCCATATTGTTTAGACTAATAGCTCCTGAGAATAGGAGCTGATGGGGAAATAGAACAGAAGGGGCGGAGGGAGCGAGTTAAAAAGGGGGCGGGAGGGGATATCCGCGCGCCGGTCGGCAATATCTGGATATCTGAGAAGCAGGTGGGAGAGTAGGAATGTAAGAAATGTGATGCAATGTAGCATAAACTGAGTGCATACACAAAACACTTTGGGAAAATCATTTGAGTCATTTTGTGTCCGAATGGAAGCGTTGTAATCGTTCCAATTCCAGTTTTGGTTTTTTTGTATTATATCCACCCATTATGAACCAAAAAGTTCGAAAATGCCATTTTTAAATCGTATCGCTATGAATTGTTCGCTAATGAATGGATGGAATTGAATCTTTTTTTTTTCAAATGTAGATATCGTTGAGCCCTATCGATCGCCAATAATTAAAATTTAATTCATCGATTAGTGTTTTTAATTTTTGAATTGTTTCAAAAATCGGTTGTTCACGATAACTAAAAAAAATATTCTGAATTGATTGAATAATGGCTTTAAAAAACTATTTGGGTGTCCCTTTGACCGCGTTCGAAGATCAAGGTGATAGTAATAATCGTTATTTTGATTCATTGGAAAATTTTCAAAAATTGAGTATTTTTTTAAAATCAGAATTTTGGAGATATTTTTGGATATATTGTTTCAAAGGAATTCAATCATAGCTTAAAATGTTTGTTTTAATGCCATTAAGTCGAAGTTAAATATGATTACGATATTTATATTGGTTGATTTAATTTTTATGATGATTGTTGAAAATTTTGAATTTTTCATGAATTTCCCTGAAAGTGAACTTTCTGATGGTTTCTTCAGATGGGATGTTTCAAATTTATTCAAGTATGTGTAAATAAAATTTTTCTATTAACATTTTATCGAAAAAAGACAATAGGTTATATAGAAGAAAAGGGATAATAAAAATAATGATGCTGATAACATTCAACGAGGTTTGAAAATATGACGAAATTACGTAAAAGGAAATCTTATTCAATTTATTAAAATGAAATAAACAATGAATTATACATGATAAATGTATAAAGAAATGATGTGCAGAATAACCATTTGGAATCACATTGCTAATTTATTAGCAAAAATAACTATACTATATACAATACAAGAGCAATTTCCCACTTGTTTAACTTCTTCTCATGAAACGATTTAATTGTGACAAATTATTAGGTTTACATGCTTCATAGGGCTTTGACCCTTGGACTCTCCAACAATACCAAGAATATTCCATTACCATTGCCTCCAGTATTTCAAGTCGTTTGACATTGCACGAAAACACTTTCATCATATATAGTTGATTGATTATGATTACTTGAAATTATGCATTGTAACTACGAATTGGGATTACAATCAGCCTCCCCCCTCGCTTGCTTGCCCATGACCGGAAACTCACAATCAATTATACGAAAAGAATCGGCCGGACAACAAAAAGAATCGTCCAATCGAAAATTGGACATCATCGGTTCGTCCCCGCTCTACCGCCATTAAATTAATAATAATGATTGATATGACTCATTTTTTCCCAACGGATTGCCCTCCCTGAAGTATTGACACAAAGTTGAGAAGGACACCTGTGGCTTTCAAGTCATCTATTGTAATAACACACATGTCCTCGATGCTGCGTCCGGTTAACTGTCGAATAATGAATTCGAAAATGAAGTACATACATGTGAAATATTGAGGTAATTTCAGTTGTTCACAAAAATGGAGAAAAAAAGCCGTGCAACCTCCAAGCGTCCTGCGTCAATGGATTGTCGGTTTCCGTCGGGTTGAAGGCACAGAGCGATAATCATTAGCTGGAGATTCATCGGAACGTGAACAAAAATTATTCCATTATTTTTTTTCGATTTTTGGGACAATTTTTTTCTGTGGGAAAAATTCGAGATAAGTCAAAAACAACAAGCGACGAGTTGGAGATGTTTGATGAGAATGATAGATTGATGTTTCGGCTTGTCAGGCCTGTGGCCTTGATTGTCGGGGAATTGAATAAATATGATGGCCGTTAAGGAGGAAACGAGATGTGTCCACCCGACGAGGTCTGATTCACATTAATTACTTTCGAATTAAACGATGGGGATAATTAAAAATTGCTCGCTAAGTGTATTTTCACTTAATTGTAAAATGATTTTAAAATTGTCGGGACGAATTACTCACTCGTGTCACTGTCTTTCATAATTTTTAGAATTATTTATTGCTCATCAGAGAGTAGACGGGTGAAGAGAAATATATTCTAGTTTCTCGACATTTTTCACCTTATTCAGTTGAATACTGCAAGAGTTCTCGATTTCCAATTCTTAATTATCACCCAGCGACACAATTCACGCGTAATTACCACACTTGAGAATCAAGCAAGTATACATAGAGTACTATCGGGCACTGCAAATGAGTTTCGTTCATTAGGTGAAAAACACCTCAATAAGACGATTTTTTCCTCGTCGATTTTATCGTTAATTTCGTGTGTATTTTCTTTTCGAGTTGCAGCAAACTCACACGTTCTTTATGCTCTATCGTTCATCTACATTAGATTAGGTATGCACATAATAGGTATTTCTGCGGTTCAACCGTGCGTGTATACCACAATACACGATGTGCGCACGAAAGCATCAGGTGCAGTGAACAATATTATGATTTCTCAATAATATTAATTATCATTTTTTAAATTCATAATTCCTTTTTACTTGGGCTAAACATCAGAATAGGTCCGTTTTCAGGAAATATCCTCGAATTTATGAAAAATGCAGCTCCTTTAACCCATTTACTAAGTTCTACATTTAATTCTGTTGGATAATTGCGCAGATTTATCTTTTGTTTTCCCTTTTGCAAACAATTGGTATTAGAAAAACTGTCCTATCGCTTATATCATAATTTTGCCGCTGATAATCAGTCAAACTATAGCCGAAAGAATGGAAGAAAATTAATAAAAAAATCAACAGTAAGAGATGAAAAAAATAGAAAGCAGTGTTCGATCGTGATAAAAGAATACATATGGCATATGTGTGCTCGTTAGTGAATCGCTGAAGAACTGATATAGCGCGTTTTTACAGTGGAAAGAACAAGAACTCAACATATCCTCGGGTATACGCGACGGGTTACGTGTGGTTGTTCGACGTATTTCCCCCTTTCATTTCCCATTTTTACCCACATCCCTTGGGCATTAACGGTGACACCTGATACATTTATGATAAATCCTTCACCGAAAGAAGATGGCGAAGATTCCTAACTGTCAATCTGGACAAAAATTCCAGGAATTTCTTTTTTCTAGTTAAAACCCTGGGTGAGTAACTATAGCAGATGACATGCTGCCAAGTTAAATCTATGGAGAAATCGAATGTCGATAAAAATGCACGGAGATGAATTTTGCCGGGGGCATATTTAATATTGAAAGGAATTTTTTTCAGCATCCTTCAAAATTTATTTTTTCAACTTTTACGGATTCATGGGTTTTTGCATTGAAGAAGAAACGGACAGTGAGTTTTCAAAAAATATAGAATTGAGATAAAAATATCTAGTAATTTTTCAACATTTTATAAATTCGCTAAAAAATAGCCTGACATCAAATCTGATCATTCTATCGACACTTGTCACTGAAAACTATGATCCTCCACCTGAGTAGGGGAGACCGGGGCAAAATGAACAGCGGGGTAAAATGAGACCCGGAACAAAATGAGACTCCTTTGTTTTTTTGTTTTTCAATGAGACAAATGAGGCCAGTGTTTTTTCGATGCAACGTCGTTTAACAGATCACATACGGATCACGAGGATCAAATGCCGCAAGGATTTTTAATTATCACAAAAGTTTGTTAATTTGCGTATTAGGCGCAGAATTTTTATTTATTTTTTTCTAATTTTTCAGGAATTTTTACAGATTTAAATCTTTTTCTAAACTCGAATAGCTGATTTTTTCATAAGACTCTGTGTTATTATGCCATTTATTAATTACTTATTATCAATTATACTAGACTAAGAAGTGAGCGCTAGCTTAACCAGAAGGCTTCTAGTCTTATTAACTTTCGTTTAGAATTTTTCCAGATTGGAATCTTTGAAATCTGAGTTAAGTTTATACTACTTTAAATCTACTAACATTGGGGTATTTCATTAGTAACTGCAGAATAATCCATCATTCGCGTAAAGTCTCAAATTTTACAGGAGTCTCATTTTGCCCCGGTCTCCCCTAACGTCGACAATTGCACTCACTACTCATCACCGTAGCGGTAGCAATCAAAGAGCAAAAACCATCGATGGCTGATTCATCCGAATCTTGCGCGGCTTGATTGGTCAATTAGACGGGAAACACGTAGGAGAACACTCCACTACTTGTGTGAGATGGAAAGGGACTCAGAAGAGTCTAAAACTCCCCTCTCCCTCTCCCTCTTTACCGAGTTACCGCAGGGGTAGGATAGCTCGAAAGAGGATATTTTAATTATTGTCACCCCGATTGCACTTTTCCTCTCCCCTCCGCCCCTCACTCTTCACTCGGTAACTTGAATCGATCCTGAATTATTTTTGAGTCGTCAATAACGCAAATCCCCTTAAACCAAACAGAAAATTATCGAATTCTTTTAAAAAATGGATATGAGATTTCAGTTGAAGAATTATTTATCGACGTCGGCAACGGAAAAAATCAATTAGATGATGTAAACACCCGTTTATTGTAAAATCGAATAAGTCGTATCTGTATTTTGTTTTATTTCGGAAATCACTGATGAGTTCACGGGAAATATCCTCAACGATAACGAGCGAACCGACCGTTGGAATTATCGGGCAGAACGACATAATTCATTTCTCGGTAAACTCGTGATGCCCAACCAGCAGCTTAGATTGGATCTGTACATGATAGAGCGCAGAGAAGAAGGAAGAAGGTCTCCGGATGGGAAAAAAACCTCACGAATAAAAGCGGTGACTTTGAAATAGACATTTGGACAGTAGTTTTGTATAGTGTGTGTATGTGAGACATGTCATATGTGAAACGCTGTGTTGTGCGAATGAGGGGTGAAGAGCTGAGGGGTTTCTTTTTTTTCTCTATTTTCCTCTTATTTTTTGAGAAACGAACAAAGGAATCATTGCGTGCAGTGGGCGGTGACGATGCGCGCGGGAGTTCGTCACGACATGCGACAGAGAAATTTTAACGATAAGTAGCGGACGAAAGTGACTCTCTCCTTCGTCTTCTAACTCTTCTTCGAGAAAAACTGGGGAACATTGTCGTTTACGAGATTCATTTGGCATATCATTCACATCCCATGGTTGTGCGAGGGTTATTAGAGCTGCAAAAGGACCCGAAAAAGGCTTTAGTAACTGAGAAAACCATCGTTAACGGCTAATCGTACTAGTGGCTAATTGTTTTTTTAATCGATAGATATTAACACACAGATCAAATTTCCTGATGGCTTTTGCATTTTAAATGGGACGCATATATGAAAACACTAAAAAAGCTTCTGAAAAACGCGTTTTCACAAATTATGAGAAATTGGTAAATTTTTCAATTTTTGGTGGAATGTTTTCTTTGAGGTCTCAATGAGTTCTACATTTTTTGTCTTATGTGTTTCCTCAATTAATCATGTCCTAAGCTAGTAATTTCAATTAGTTTATAAATGTTATTAAAAAATGGTGCTAGTGGCTTTTTTTCTTACCCATTGATAGTTTTTAACATCTAGATGAAATTTCGTGAATAGTTTTCATGTTTTTGGATGATACATTCATAAAAGAATGATAATGCGGGACGGAAACCTTCTATGATAACTGTGATTCGTCAGTAGCGCTTCAGTCGGCAGAGTAGGGGCAGTGCAAGCCCACGTTCATGTCAAGGAGTGGTGGAAGAGGCGATTCCATTCATTAGATCAGAGAAATTATTCGTCAACATTTCATGATCAATTTTTCAAAAACTTCGTCTTCTTTGGTTTTCTTGTATTTTTTATTCTTTGATTATTCTCAATATATTGAGAATGAAAACTACATACAAAATTTTATCTAAACGTTAAAAACTATCGATCATCGAGGAAAACAACCATTAGTACTTTCATTTTTTAATAATATTTATAAACTAATTGAAATTACTAGGTCCGCACGTCTCTAATCGAAAAAACAGAAAGAACAAAAAATGTAGAACTCATTGAGAGCTTTCAAAACCATTCTGTCAAAAATAGTAAAAAGTTGACCATTTCCTCACAATTTCCGAAAAAGACCTTTTCAATGGATTTTTTATTGTTTTTCTTATGTGCGCCCTAATTGAAATGCAAAAAACCATTAGGAAAGTTTAAGCTACGTGTCAATATCTATCGATTCAAAAAACATTAGCCACTAGTATGCCAACGTAAATCGGGGCTGTTTGCAGCTCTATATTGATGGAGATAATAAGAGTGGAGTCCTGACTAAATGGAGCGACTATTTCACCAATTGCTTTGAAGTAAAGAATGTGCAGTCCTTGAGATTTTTTTTCCAAATGATCTCTCCAAAGTGTCAGGACTCATGAACACGTAGTTCTAGTTATTGTATAATTAATGTTATGAATAGGAAAACCGAGTAAGAACACACCACAAGTTGTGCCTCACCCGTAGAGTATGTTTCAGGCAAGGAGCAGGGTATGCCAACGTTTGGCCGTCCACAGGAGGGCGGACCACCTGACATAAACGACGAGAGAATTGCTCACATGCTCTCGGAATCTGGACACCTGCAGATGAGTCGTGCGAGTGAACACGACACCTCCAACGATGCTGACAGTAAGAGTCCTAGTAGACTGGGATGTCCGAGCCCATTCGGAAAAGACAGGTACGACAGTCAGAACAGGAGGTTGAAGAAGTACGAGAACGATGACATTCCCCAGGAGAAGGTTGTGAGGATTTATCACGAGGAGCTTGCCAAATTGATGGGAAGAAGAGCCGATGATTTACGTGGACCAAGGGACTTTCCTCCAAGGTGAATAGCTGAAAGATAAAAATGCATTTAAACTAATAAATTAAAAGCCTGCATGATACGTAGCTCTACATTCAAATTCTCCTGTTACATATATCTTGAAAATATACACTGAGAAAAGAAATTATTTTTGTCAAATATTCATTTACCTGAGAGAAGCATTTACTTTTTCAAAATCGGATTTCTCCAATCGATTCAGTTTCAGGCAAGCCTAATTAGGTTTCAATTATGACAATCAAGTTGCTCTACAGGTAAGAATTTCGATTAATTTTTTAATGTTTATAATTATTGGAGGAGTTCACTCAAGGCCATAGCCAACATGATCATTTTGTAGAGCAATATAATTGTCATAATTGAAACCTAATAAGAATTTCCTGGAAATGACTCGTCTGGAAAAAAAATAGTTGAAAAAATGAATACTTCTCTCAAGTAAATGGATATTTGACAAAAATAATTTTTTTTTTCTCAGTGTAGAGGACTTTATTGTCAAGCTGTCTCGAATCTATCTCAGAAATCACTATGTCGATCAATATGAATTAAGGACAGCACATAACGTTGATTGATCGTAGCGCGATGTTTCCTCACTTTTTCAGTGGAGCCCAGGGTATCCAGGGGATGGAGCGCACCCAGGAGGAAATCAGACTAGCTCTGGACGCCTACCACAGAGAGCTCCAGAAGTTGAATTCAGCGTCAGGTGGAAATCCTGCACTAGCGAGTCTCTCGGGACTGCCAAGTCTACCAAGTCTTCTTGCACTTCACCAGCAGGCCCTCCACCAAAATCACCTGGCAGCCAATGGTACTGGTGTTGGTGTGCAGGACCTCAGTCTGGGAAAAGTCGATCCACGTAGTAAAATGATGAACGGTGTTTCCGAGGAGGATAAAGAGAAAATGGAAGAGGCAATGAGACACGCTGGTAGTGCATTCTCCCTCGTAAGACCAAAACAAGAGCCAACGGGTGCACAATCGACCCCAGGTGGATCTAGTGCAAGTTCACCACTTGGTAATTCGATATTACCACCTGCTATGACACCCAATGAGGAATTTTCCGGTGCTGCTGCAGCGAGTCCACTCCAGAGAATGGCATCAATCACAAATAGTTTGATTAGCCAACCGTCCACACCAACCCATCACTCAGCAAATCAACGACCCCTCAAAGCTGTTCTACCACCAATAACACAACAACAATTCGATCTTTATAATAATCTCAACACTGAAGATATTGTAAAGAGGGTAAGTCGAGTTGTAAGTCGTCAAACTTCGAACTCTTCTATTCATTGACACCCTTAAATCATTAATTGCAATTTTTTATCATTCGTTGCAGGTGAAGGAACAATTGTCACAGTATTCAATCTCTCAGAGACTCTTTGGAGAGTCGGTTCTTGGGCTTTCACAGGGTTCAGTGTCCGATCTCCTTGCACGGCCCAAGCCCTGGCACATGCTCACGCAAAAGGGGCGAGAACCATTCATCAGGATGAAGATGTTCCTCGAGGATGAACAGGCTGTGCACAAACTCGTTGCTAGCCAATATAAGATTGCTCCCGAGAAGCTCATGAGGACCGGCGGCTACGGCGGCCTGCCTCGTAAGTTTAACTCAGGTCAATATAGATGTTTTGTTATTTTATTAATTGTAGTTTGAAAGCTCGCTTATATCACGTTTTTTTGGATAATCCTTGGAGTTGTAGAGAGAAAAATTTAGTTATTGATCTTTCGACGCCATGTTGAGTGAAAAATATAAAACCATTGAAAATATGTTTATTGTCATTACTAAAAGTAGAATGCTTTTACTTAGGGGAGAGTGGAGCAAAATGAAGCAGTCAAAAAATGACTTTTTGGCGCAATTCAAGTAAAAAAAAAATTTATTAAGCATTTTTTTTATCAACTTTTTTTAATTCTTGGGAGTACTGATGAGAATAACAATTTTCTATTCAGTAGAATGGAAAATTATGGAGAAATTATGATGGGCGAAGGTTTTGTCAATGGATTAATTGAAAAGAAAATGAAACAGTAAAATCCAATGTGCAGAGTAAGGCCCAGGGGGAGGCCCAGAGGGGGAAAAAAGAAAATGTGATGCTGAATTTCAATTGAATAATCCATTGACAAAATCTTCGCCCATCAACACTTCTCAATAATTTTCCATTTTACTAAATGGAAAATTATTATTCTCGCCAGATCTCCCAAGAATAAAAATAAGTTGACAAAAAAAAATTAATAAAAATATTTTTTTTACTTGGATTGCGGCAAACAGTCCTTTTTTTGACTATTTCATTTTGCCCCCCTATATTTCTCTTGATAATGCGACAAAAAGGATTAACTACAATTTACCATTACCCATCTTTTTATTTTTGCTGATTTCCTTTAGTTGTTGATTCATTTGTTCAGCATTACATTTTTGTAGAACAATTTTTTATAATTCCAAATAAATTTCTTTCGGGAAATGGCGAGAAAGAATCGAAGTTCCATCTGGCAAATGAATCTATTCAACTGAACTGCTTTATATTACGTATAGAGACAACTTATAAAACCATCGTGAAAACCCAAAAAGAGCGTTCAAACTATAGAGCCCCCTAATATTCCGAAATAACAAGAAGTTCAATTTGAATTTTCCTTTGCAGCCTGCGGGACACCGATGAAGCCAATGCCTCCAACAAAACTCGTCCAGGAGCAGCTTCAGAATGCCGCAAAAGCCCAGGCCGCAGCGCAAGCAGCAGCTGTGGCAGCCGCGCAGCATCAGGAGCACCAAATGCAGTTAGGTCCACCTTCGGGTCCCCAGCATGGCACTCATCCCGTACCACCACCTCCAATGATGCTGACTCCACCGGGAACACACCACGGAGCGACTCACGCTGCACAACTGTCCATCCAAGAGCTCCAGAAAAAGCAGCACCAACAGCAGCAAATGGGCCTCCACTCGCCTCACCAAATGACCCCCTCGCCCCTGCGTAGTCTCCACCCTCACATCTCCCCGAGTGTCTATGAGATGGCGGCATTGACGCAAGATCTGGACACACAAACGATCACGACGAAGATCAAGGAGGCCTTGTTAGCAAATAACATTGGACAAAAGATCTTCGGTGAAGCTGTTCTGGGGCTGTCCCAGGGTTCAGTGAGTGAACTTCTCAGTAAACCAAAGCCCTGGCACATGCTCAGTATCAAAGGCAGGGAACCCTTTATCAGAATGCAGTTATGGCTGGCAGATGCTCACAATGTAGACAGACTCCAGGCGCTGAAGAACGAGAGGCGTGAGGCGAATAAAAGACGTCGCAGCAGTGGTCCTGGTCATGACAACAGTTCAGATACCTCTAGCAATGACACAGCTGACTTCTACCACGCCTCAGGTTCCCCCGGGCCCGGTCCTCCTTCTGCCAAAAAGCAAAGAGTTCTTTTCTCAGAGGAGCAGAAAGAAGCACTGAGACTTGCATTTGCCCTAGACCCCTACCCCAATGTAGCAACCATCGAATTCCTCGCTGGCGAGCTCGCGTTATCCTCAAGGACAATAACAAATTGGTTCCACAATCATCGAATGAGGCTCAAACAGCAAACACCTCATGGTCAGCCAGAGCCACAATCGCCGAGGGAACCTGGACAGCCGTTTGATCCAGTACAATTTAGAATGCTCTTGAACCAAAGACTGCTTGAGATACAAAAGGAGAGATTGGGACTGGGGAATGTGCCAATTCCCTACTCGCCGTACTTCAATCCGAATCTCGCAACGTTGATGAGTAATGCTTTGAAGGAGCAGTGCTCAGGACTCGATCTGTCCATGGGTTCGTTGAAGAGAGAGCCCAATCAGGAGTTTGAGGATGACGACGGGGATGATGCTATGAGTAATCTTGGAAGTGAGGATTCTGATGGCTCAGCGTCGAGTATAAAGCGTGAACCTAATGATCATAGTCAAACTCAGCCAACTGCAGCTACCTCGGCGAGATCCAACAGGAGAAAGCCAGCAGCACCCCAGTGGGTGAATCCAGAGTGGCAGGAGCCAGCTAGAACCGGTGATGAAGTTATTATCAATGGTGTTTGTGTTATGCAGACTGATGATTACGGTGTTAAGAGGGAGACTGAGGAGACGATAAGAGTTGAACCAACACCGGTCCAGGATAGATACGATGATGATGCGCAGAGTGATGTATCATCGGTGTCTGGTAATAATGGACAGGATCGCGATAGTCCGATACCAAGTCCAAAATCAGCTCAAAATAGTCCAATTACCTCACCACGACCACCGTCACAACAAAATGCCCAGGATAATGGAGAGAGTCCGAAGGAAATTGTTAAGCACGAGCCTGAAGAAACGTGGGATTATTAAACAAGTATTTTTTTTCTCCTTCTGGTTGACATATTATTTTATCATTTTGTATTCCTTAAATCGTAATTTTCCATTCAATGCAAAACTGCTGAACAGTCTTGTCAAACTGACGTGGTTCTGCTTAAATGAAATAAACATAAAGTGATCTTAAAGAGAAAATTTATCTAGGACAGATGACAGTATGGTGGAGAATGTTAGTTATTTAACGTAATTTATAGCTAAAAGTGTAGATTTTTAGGTTTTTAGGGAGGCAAAGCCAAGCGATAGGATTCGATGATTTGAATAATATAAATAACGAATCCTGCCTATCAAATTGGGCATTATATCGAAGTTTAATGAACATGTGTGGTGAACGACTGAATCACGAACAAACTGTATATCTTTTTTTTTTCTTTTTTGTTGGTGAATCCGTTTCCATTTTTACGAGGAAATGATAATTGCGGTTTTAATCATGGAGAATTTGATGATGTTTTAATAACGGGAGCAAAATCAAAAATCTCTTCGTAGAACAAAAATTGTTAAGATAAAATGAAATTTCAATGGAAAAACCACCAGTGAGCGTCGAACAAAAGAAATGTATACTAAACTCGTATATATATATATATATATATATATATATATATATATATATATATATATATATATATATATATATATA